TGGCCATCCTCGGTGGAGTCCTCTGGTCTTGCCAGGGGCAACTGGACATTTGGACTCCCAGCAGAGGGGGCGGCGTGGGGGTTTCACACCCTGCCGTTCTTGAATCTTTTCCACCCTCGTGCGCCTCTTTCAAGTCGTGACCCAGCGTTTCCACACGTCCGGGGGGCCTTTTGAAGCGCTGCAGGATCGGCCGTGGTTTTATCATCTGAAAACTGGCCGCTGAGGTGGACTCTGGGATCCCCCCGACCCTGAGAGGCACATTGGCCACCTTCTGCCTGGGTGGGGTGGCCCAGCGCCTCGGCTGAGCCTTGTTCGGATTCTCACGTAGCGGCCAACCATAGCTCTCTTAGGCAAGCCCCCCTGCAGGGCTAGGGGGGCGTCTCCTTTTTGGCCCAGTTTAGAGCCTCTGGCCCCTGACACCCTGAGGTAGAGTGCCTCTGAATAGGGAGGTTCTGTTCTGGACCTTTAACACAGAGCTGGTGCAGGTGAGGGCCCAGGAGGCCACCGTCTCTGGAGGCAGCCCTTCACGAGGACGCTCTCGCCTGCCCTTGGCCCGTCCTTCACGCTCCTGTCTGCCCTCTTCCACAGAGCCAGGTGCCAAGAAAGACCCTTCCCACCAGAGGAAGTGCTGGTGGCGCCCTTGGCTGGATCATGCTGCAGGTACACGGCCCGGCTCTCTCTCAGCATGAAAGAGAAGAGCGCTAACAGACGCACTAACCACTCTGGCTCGTCTCACTCTGGGGCAGCCCTGACTCTGCCGGAAGGGGGTTCGCCACGGCTGCAAACTGTGCTGGTGGTAGATGGAAGGAGGGCTGGTGGCCGGGGGGCTCCCAGGGGACGATGGGTGGCGTCCAGCTCATCTATTCTGCAGGCAGGCCATCCGATTCCTGCCGGCCGGGGGGGGGGGCTTCTCTCGATGCTCTGCTGTCCGGGCTTGCATGCATGCCTGAGCCCCACTCCCCACAGACTCAGCACTTTGGGGGCAGACTTCTGGGTTCTTTCTCCACCTGTCCCTCTTTGTGCCGCCTAAGAAGCATTCCCCCCCCCTTTCTCCAGTGGGGCCAAAAAGACTTGCAACCACCAAGGCCTTTGAGCTCTAGCAAAGACGGGGCCCTCTCTGCCCTCTCAGGCTGGGGCTCCTTTGGGTTTGGGGGTTTTTGGGCTCTGGAAAAAGAAACCTCCTGCCCGGCTCCTGGAGAACAGCCCCGGCTGCCCGTCAGGGTTGATGGCATGGGACCAGGCTCTGTCCCCCATGAGCCTTTGGGGAAAAGTCCCCAAAGGGAAGCAGCCTCCCCCACCCCCGACCCCAAACTCTCATTCAGCAAAGGGTGGGTTGGGGTGGAGGCACCTTGCATGCCAAAGAAGACGAAGCCAGGCGGGAACATCCCCTCCGTGCATCGGGTGTGTGTGTGTGTGTCTGTAGGGGTGTTGGTTTCTCTGCGAGCCTCCGGGCTGGTGCAGAATCACCTTCTTTAATTCTTCCCCCACGATAAGGAGGAGGACCACCGCCCGTTGCAGGCGACTCAGCATCCCCTGCTGTGCCTTCCGGAAAGGAAGCAGCCGCTCCTCCCAGGGTGGAGGGAGTCCCCGTGGGGAGCAGAGGCCACTACAGTGGTAACGTCCGCATGAGCAACGAGCATCCAGGAATGATCAGGGTGTGGGCTCTGGATGGGGATGAGTGCGAAGCACCCCGCTCCTGCGCCTTCCTACGGGGAAACGCTGTGCGTGTGACCCAGGGGTGGAGAGCCGAGGTGCACGTCCCTGCGTCGTTCTGGGTTTTGATGGACTGCTGCACCCAGAATTCCTCAAGCAAGGGGACTTCTGGGAGCTGTAGTCCATGAACACAGCTCTCCCTGCCTGCTTCCCCTTCTAGGGAACTGCTCCCACAAAATGACATGTTGTTGTTGTTTTCTCCTTTACTCTTTTCTAGTCATACGTACTTATATCTTGGGAAAGTTTCCTTTTTAAAAATCACAGTTCTTAGAGGCAATCATTTCCCCAAGCTCTGTTTATGCTGCGTTTGAGTCCCACAGGTGTGCAATATAATGTGATTTATTATTTTCCTAAATTGCAATTGGCTTTTTGTCTTGATTTTGGCCTATCCGTTTGGGAGAGCAGTGTAAAAGGCAAGCCAGGGCAGAGGAGAGAGCGAGACCTCTGTGCAGGCGTGGGGTGTGGGTGTGGGTGGGTGGGTGCATGGGTTTTTGTGTGTGCATTGAGCACGCTTTGTAGCCCACCTTATCATGATGTCATTCCAAGACAGTTTAAGATACCGAGGAGCAGACCATGTGCCATCAAAACACTAACACTCGACCATAAACAAACCATCTCCTTTGTGCAAAAATCCCCAATGCTAAAATGTGACTAACCTCTGCGGCAAGCGTAGAACACATCTGGACAGTTGCATGCAGCCACACCAGACAGAAATGAAACAGTGCATGAAGCCACACAGGCTGCGCAAGTAGAGCCGTGTGGCTTCTGATCCACCAGCGTCCCAGAGCTGAAGGGTGGGGAGTGGGGGGGGGCTTTTAGAGCTGCAGAGACCTGAAGGGGACCCAGGAGGATCTGAGATGCAATCCATCATCCCCCATAATTGACCCACTAGTGATTTTTATCCCCCCAAGAGCTCTAGCAAATGTCAGGGATGGGAGGAACCAGCCAGCCAGGAAGGGGGGGGGAGAGGCTTTTATGGCCTTGTTGGTTGTACAGAAACAACGGCTTCCAGAGGTTGGGGCTCAAGAGGGCTGGCGACGGAGGGAGCTCCCATCCAGGGCCCGGCCGGGACCCTTTTGGCTCATCGCCTCCCTCTTTGTTGGCCACCAGGAGCGTTCCTTCTGGGCAGGCGGCTCTTCCTCTCGGCTGTCTTCTCTCCTTCTCTGTAGCTGGACCCTTTTTCCCGCATGGCTCTGATCCCGGAGGGAAACCATCACGACACCACCTGTCCATTTGCTGTGTTTGGTTTGGGGAGGTGTTGCGGGGGGGGGGGGGCTCTTTCTTTTTTGGGGGGGGGTTGTTTATAGTGCTGCACTCGGGGGATTATTTCTTGTTCGATACGGACAGCGAAGAGGACGAAGAGTCGGTTGTGGAAGAGCAAAAGCCACCGAAGCAGAGCGCCTTCCAGGTGAGGGAGAACAAGGGAGAGCCATCTCCCCTCGCGGAGGTCCCGTGCAAGGAATGATCAGGGAGGGAGCAAAGGGGGACCAGCAGGACCCGGCCGGGACAGAGAGTCGTCTGAGCAACACAGCCTCTCATTTCTCTATCATGGAGGCGCCTGCATCTCTCCTCCCTCCCCCCTCCCCGATCCCTGAGAGATTTCTCCATCTGTGGTTATGCACTAATGAAGGGAAGCTTTCTACACATGCCCAAATACACTATTTTTTTTGGGGGGGGGAATTGTGTGGATGGGTTCTCATGTCAGTCGGCTGCCCCTCGGGAGTGGAAGCGCATTTCAGGGCGAATTTCTTAGGCACTCCAGAGGCAATGGGTCCTAAATGAGGATTCCCCCTTCAGAACGGGGGTGTGTGGGTGTGTGTGTGTGTGTGTCTGCTGACCTCTTAAGGGGCTCAGCCTGGCTTTGATTTTCATCTTTGGTCTCTTAAGATATTTTTTTCAGGTGAGAAGACATCAACCTGAGAGCCTTTTGCTTTCAGGGCCGGAAATTGGGGGGTGCTCTTGTTTGAACCTCCATGTCCAGCAGCCCCGCAATAGGATTCTGGGAGTTCTGGTCGAAAAATAACCCCACCTCTTCCCCCTCAGTGTGTTTTTCACTCTTCTTTTTGCGTTTCCAGCTGGCCTACCAGGCCTGGGTGACAAACACGCAGTCGGCGCTCCGTGAGCGGCAGAGGCAGGAGAAAGAGGAGGAGAAGGAGGAGGAGCAGGCGACGGAGCGGGCGGAAGGCAGGTCTCCCCAGACCCTCCCGGCTCCTTTCTCCCCCCCACCCCCCAGCCATGGCCACCGTGGCGGCTGTTGCATCCATGCGGCAGTCCAGGAGGGCTCGGCCTGGGTGGGGTCCCAGTGCCAGGCCACGCTAGGGGTGGAAGGGAGAAGGCTGGTGGGGAAGGTCTGACCGGCTCCCCGTCTTCCAGGTGACTTGGCTGAAGGGGAGATCCGGACAGGTGAGCTGAAGGATGGGGCCACTAGCCAAGAAGAAAAGGAGGAAGAGGAGGAGGAGGAGGAAGAGGAAGACGAGGAAGAGGAGGAAGTTCCAGGTGAGTAAAAGGAGGAGGACCCTCTCAAGAAAGAAGTGCCTCTGGGCCCCAGAAGTTGCCAAGTCAGAGTGGGAAATTCACGAGGACCCATCAGTCCTGGGCTCCAGTAAAATGAAGAGGAGGGGGGAGGGGCATGCATCGTTAGCATTTGACAGAAAAAGAGCTGAACGCAAAAGGCCAAAGGGAGAAGGTGGTGGGAACACTGGGAAACAGCTGTGGTTTGAGAAGAGTGGAAACGGGCTTTCTGTGTCTTGCTTGCTTGCTTGCTTTTTTCCTTTCTAGTGGAAACGGGCTTTCCGTGTCTTGCTTGCTTGCTTTTTTTTTCCTTTCTCTTTCCTTCCTTCCTCCCTCCATCTCTGCTCTGCTCTGCCTCTCACACTTAATCCATCTCCTGGCTTAACAGAATATTGTTCCTCGTGAGTCCTTTCCCAGGTGGCTGGCCTTCTAGAGCCTTCAGCCATACGCTCTAGCCAGCCAGCGTGGGCAACGATCAGGCATTATGGAAGTTGTCGTCCCAAAGGGTTATCAGCTTTGGGGCAGCTGTTGCTCATAATTGATGGGCGGATGGGTGGGGAAGGGTGTCAAGGACTGTCCCGGGCTCACCGGGAAGGCGGAGGGTCCCAGCCTGGCCCAATCCCCACCCACACCCCACATCCCCCCCCGGGGGGGGCTTTGCTTCCCTTCAGAGAAGAGCCACGTGGTGCAACGGGCTCTCAACGGGCTGCGCTTCCTGTGGGTGCTGTGCCAGGCCACGGTGGACGGGCTGACCCAGTGGCTGCAGGCGTTCACCAAGGAGCACGAGCAGATGTCCACCATCTTGGGGCTGGAGAGGTTTGTGCTCACGCAGCAGCTGGAGCAGGTGAGCCGGTCTCTGGGTGGGCGGGGTGTGTGTGGCTTCAGGGCTAGCTGGGGGTGTGTGTGGGAAGGGTGAGGGGGGGCGTCTTTGGGCAGAGGAAGGGGAGGCTCAGCCCCTGAGGTGGCTTTCCGGTCCCCACAGGCGGAAGAGGTCCAGAGGAGTGTCCTGGACAGGCTGTACCAGCCGACTGGGACGGACAACGCCTCCGAGGACACGGCTCTGCCAGGAACTGTGGTCGGGTCTCCAGACAGCGCAGCTTCCAGGCAGGTGCATAGTGGGGAGGGGGGTCCCCAGGTGTGTGGAGCTGTCTTGCCCTCAGGCTCCTCAGGGGCTCTTGAGGAGTGTCCCACTCAGCCTCTGTATCCCTCTGTGAGTCTCCCGAGGAGACGGCGGTGGAAGTTTGTCACTTCAAAAGGGGGAAAAGGTCTGGGGGGCACCTTAAAGACAGACACGTTTGGTGTGGCCTAGGATTCCGTGGACTACCATCGGCTTCTTCAGATGCCTCAGGAGACACGGGGTGCATTCTGTGGAAGCACGTGGCAAATAAACCTTGGGCTGCTTGGTTCTTGGGCGTTCTCTCTCTCTCTCTCTCTCTCTGCCGTCCCCCCCCCCGCAGAGGGTTTCTGGGAGCAGGGGCTTGTTCCCCTTTCTCCCTTTTTATAAAAATCCTTCCTCCAGGGGTGGCGAAGGGGCAGAAGCGCTCAGCACGGACACCACCGGCTACGACACCCCCAGCGATGAGCGAAGCCCGGCCGGGGACTCCTTGGGCCCCCTTTCTGTCAGCTCCCAAGACCTGCAGGCTGACTTTCTGTCCCGGCCTCGGACGGCCAGTGAGTTGCTTGTGAACAGGTAAGGAGGCCAGGAGGGAACAAAGGCTCGGAGGTCACCCTTGAAACCCACAGACGACCATCGGAGACGGAAACCAAGTGAAGAAGGGTTGGTGTTTCAATTTAGAGAAGGCAAAAAGTTGCCCTGAGAGAGATTTGTCTGAAGCAAGAGGGGAAGAGGGGAAGCCCATAACCCTAACCACAACTTTTCTCAACGTTCTCTCTCTCTCTCTCTCTCTGTGTCGGTTGTTGCTTCCTAGGCACGTCTCGTTTGAAGAGCTGGACGAATCAGAGAGGTTCTACCGCTCCCAGAACCGCTTCCTGCGGCTGCTGCTGGCCTGCTACCACTTCGTGGCGGCCCACTCGGACCTCCTGTGCTACTTCGTCATCGTCCTCAACAACATGGTGACGGCCTCGGTCATCTCGGTGGTCCTTCCCATCCTGGTCTTCTTGTGGGCCATGCTGTCCATCCCACGGCCGAGCAAGCGCTTCTGGATGACCGCCATCGTGTACACGGAGGTGAGGAATGTGGGGAGGGGGGAAGGAAACCTAAGGTCTTGCCTTTCTTCCTTGACCTTTGGAAGCAGGCTGACCAGGGCATCCAGGCCCTGGTGGACAATGACATAATGGACCGTAATGGGTCTTCTTTGACCTGGCCGTGTATGTACCCCTCGGCCAGATTTGTTTTTTTTTGAAGATGTGAGCTGGAATGAAAACTGCCTTGCATGGACCCTTACTTCTTAAAGTCAATTTCTGCGAGAGAGTGTTTGTGACTTTTCTTTGTCCTGGTCTGGCCATCATCTCTGTGAGCACAATCAGCTTTCTTAGGGTGAGCAGTTGCTTGGCCATCTGTCAGTTCTGGAGATAGCAAGAATATTCCGTGCAGCCTACGTTTGTTATTTGTAGATATGACCTGTTTCTCCCGACGTGCTCAAGGTGGACTATCTAGCTCTCCTGTTTCTCCTTGCTTTGAGGCCGATCAAGCTACGAATGAGGAGGACTGACCACAGCCAACCCGCTCAGTTTCTTTTCTCAGGGAGGGCAGAAACCTTGGTCTCCAGAGTTGCCATCCACTATGTTCTGACCACTACACCACGCTGTCTCTCCGCCTGCCTCTGACCCGCTGCCCCCCCCTCTCTCCCCGAGCAGGCGATGGTGGTGGCGAAGTACCTCTTTCAGTTCGGCTTCTTCCCCTGGAACAGCTACAGCATCCTTGTGCGCAACGAGGCCAAGCCTTTCTTCCCGCCCCGCATCCTGGGCCTGGAGAAGACCGACAGCTACATCAAGTACGACCTCGTCCAGCTGATGGCGCTCTTCTTCCACCGCTCCCTGCTGCTGGTAGGAGGCATCCCAGGACTGGGAGGAGGGAGAGGCAGGAGCCAGGGCGTTCGCTAGGCCTGCCCGGAGAAGGCAGGCTTGGGTGGACTCAGGAGGCAGAGGGGGAAACCACAGAGTCTTGTGCCACCTTTCATGATGATGGTGTTTTAATCCAGACCACCCAGGTGGACTGCAGCCAAGGCCATCCCCCTGTGAAGAGGCTTACCCTTCACAAAGGTTTTTGGGCCAAATAAAAAGCTAGTTACTCTTTAAGGTTCTGCAATGCTCCCCGGCTTCAATCCACTTGCTGGTCCTGCCGAAGGAGCCCCGAGGAGTCAGGGAGAGCTTGGCAACTGAGCAATGAGTAAGTTCCATGGATTCAATGGGGCTCCTCTAGTTGGGAGCAGAAAGTGGATTGAACCCTTTGAGGCTTTTCTGCCACGAACTGCAGCCGAACGAGGCTGCCTCTCTGGAGCTCTCCTGCCGGACAGAGGGTGGTGCTCGGGAAGACTCAGGTCACCGTGGCAACAGATGCAGGACGTGAGTGATGCCGCTGACAAGGTGGCCACCCGTTCTGAAAAACCTCCCCTGTGTGCTCACCAGAGCTACGGGCTGTGGGACCACGAGGAGGACGTCTTGGCCAAGCCCCAGCCCGAGACGGTCGAGCCGCCCTCTCTGACGCCGAGCAAAGAGGGGCCAGGAGAGAGTTTGGTCCAAGCCCCTCCTGAGACAGGCCTGGTGGCGATTCCAGAGGCAGAGGGTGAGCAAGGAGCGCAGAAGGGGATCCGCTTGCGGTTCAGGAGGAAGAAGGGGAAGAAGAAGCCAAGCAAGGCTCAGGAAGTGCCGCTGGAGGAAGGTATGTCACGGTGGTGGTGGTGGTGGTGGTTCTTGACCCAGCTGAGCTTCCAAAATCAGGCAGGATTGGCGGGCTCAGGCTGATCACGGCACTTATCCTGTCTCGTTGCCTTCCAGTCCCAGAGGAGCAGGTTAAGAAGCAGGAGCAGGAAGGAGGGGAGGAGAAGACACCGAGCCCTTCCCAGGAGAAGCTGAAGGCGGCCGGGCGGAGGGTGAAGCATTTCTGCCTCTCTGCGTAAGTGTTGGCCCCGAGCCTGCCCAGGCCCTCTTTGAAATGGGCGGCAGGGGTGGGGGAACCGGACACCTGGGACCGAGCAGATGACATTCGGCGCCCAAGGCTGGGCCCACCTTCCTTCAGTGCCGTGGGACTGGTTGCTGGATGAGGG